ATTGCAGCGACCAACTCGCGGTGAAAGAGACAGAAAGAGAGAGTGCGAAGAGAATTGGCGTTTCAGCCCGCACTTCTTTCACGCGATCGACTTCGTCGATCACTCGATTGGTCCTCGATTGGACCGCGGGAGATTCCCTTTTCCGCTCGCGTAGAAAACTTCGTACGTTCGCCGGCCATTTTGCGACAAACCGCCCGAACTTGGTCGCGAAACGAAATGGACGGTCAGTAATTAGCGAGGCGCGGCTAATTAAACGGAGAGAAACTTAATCAGTGTCTCGGTTTTTTCTTCTTGTCGTTCCGCGGGCGCGGTTATTACGCGCATTAACGCCGCGCGGTAAACCGTTGGCGAATGGAGAGGAGTTGGCAGTAATCTTTCATCGTCGGGCATACTGCAAATATTAATTGTGACAATGATAGAACGTCCGCAGGATTATTTCTACAAGACGGAAGATTAATTGTTTATTTAGAATTTAGAACGCTTTTGTGCCGAGTTATTAACCGAACGCGAATTGGATTTACGTTTAAGCTTCAGAAAATTGTGAGAATTATCTTTACGGATTCGATTGCGGGCCGCAAGAACGTGTTTAATTGGACGTCGGGTTTTCTTTTGCGCTCGAAATTGATCGCCCGGCCTCTCGGTTCCGAAAAAAGATTCGCGTCGCGATAAAAAAAAGGCGATTCGGTTCTCCTCGATAAAGGTATCAACCCCAAAGAAAAAGACCCACAGGGATAAACCTTCGCGAACGTGATCCGATTCTTCGCTTTGATGTTTCCGACTGTGACGATAGAACGTGACATTGTGGTTATTTTTCGTTTATGCTATTCCTTTTTCTCCAATACGACGTTGGTTCTCTTCAAAAGGTAAATATCTTCGTGGTTTATTCCGATAGTCAAATTATTAATCTCTCGCATTCAATGGACTAAAAGTCAAAACTACAATAAGTAAAGGACACTCGAAACTTTTACTGTTCATGTAAATAAAATTTTAATAGCTAGATTGAACTTTTAACGAGAAGTTTTATCGATGCAATATTTATTTAATAAAATACATGGTGTTGAAATTTGAGGAGTTAGGTGAATGGATGCTTCATGGCGATTTTGATTCCCGAGAGGTCAGTAGATCCCTGAAAAAAAAAGCACGGGTGCTTTTTGCGGCAGTCTCGCCTGGTGCATTATTGAGTTCTCACCTTTCCACGCCGTTACAGCTGATGGATTTAACTCGAAGCTAAATTCGTCGCTCTTCCGACGTTCAAAGAGTTAATCGCCGGTCCTTCGACTCACGCACGAGCGGCAGCTCAGCCGGCACGGAAATGGCGTACCGCCGATAAGAGGCGCCAATCCGTTAATCTGTCGTTATCCAGCGTCCCCGCATCCCGGCATCGTAAATCTGCGTGGCGGAATCCCAGGTCTCCGCGAAAGTATTTCTCACCCTCGACTTCTTCGCGTGGATCAATCGGTTTGCCATTTCCGGGACGATCTCTTCGACGTCGCATCCACACGTTATTCTCTCTTTCTGTCTTTCTTTCTCTCCCTCTTTCTCCGTTTCTCCCTCATTTTCTTCCATTCAACCCCGGGCATCTCCGAGTGCTCTCCTTAGCGCTCGTCTTTCGTTTCATTCCCCCCGAACCAAGCAAACAACCGAATCTTTAGTCTAGCCCAGTCTTTAGCTTAGCAACCCCCTTAGGCCGGTTTACACGAAGTCAGTGGAGAGGCAAATCCGATGTGAAGATCACTCGTACGCTCCTCGAAGCGAGCAGCTGGTTAGGATTGGCGTGTATTCGAGAGCGGTAACATCCAGGGAGAAACACACAGGGAACGCGAGGTAGCCATGAAACAATCCTTCAAGTTTGACAGAGATTAAGAGCGATGGCAAGATTCTCGAGGGTACACCTAGCCCGAGCCGAACAAATATTGATGGCACCGGGACCAAGTTCTCAGACAAATCGCGACTTGCCGACTTGCTCACGATTTCGCGAGTGTCCGTTCGAACGAGTCAAGTGGGCCGGGGTAGGTTGAGACTCCTCTCGAGATATCGGCGTAACGAGGGAAGGTCGAGCACACGTCCCCAGTGGTACGAGGGCTTTCTATTCGCTTGCTTGCCCGGGCAACTTGTCTCCTACTTGACTCGCTCGTTGACTACGAGCGAACGAGAGCTCGCGTGTGGCAACTACCTAGCCCGCGGCCGACTTGGATATAGGTACACACAGGAAGACAACGACGAGTCCGTCCGCATGCGTGTGGACCAATATCCTCTCAGGATATTCTCGCTACGCCGGCCATGTCGCTGCACCGAAACAGATGACTTCCTGTGTCGCGGTAAATCATAATAAGTGCGCGGTTAGCGAGTAATCGGTGTAATCGGTGAGTCATACGTGAAATGTCTAACATCTACACGGAAAGAATTTTCTTTTAAAATTTACCCCGAAAATCATGTAATCGTGGGACAACATGACATTTTCAACTATTTTATGACAGGTTTTTGAAATTTTGCCATATATTTTACTCGTAATTATACTTAGTACACATTTTACTAGTAGAATGTATGGTAAAATTTCAAAATCTCTCATAAAGTTCTTACATGATTTTCGGGATAAATTTTAATAGAAAATTCTCTCCGTGTACGCGTAGAGAAAACAAGGTTGGTAGTAAAATAGCAGCATTAACGAAAAATATTAACAGTGCATCGTAATGTAACATTATAACATAACAATTTATTCCGGAAAAATGTTTGAATATGCTAAAGTATAACAACGCATTTTTACGTTCAGTTTTTACATTTCTTGTAGCATGGTAATTTTGAAATTTAAGTATTCGCATTATTTTTTATAATTATAAAAAGTGTGTGTGTGTCGAAAATGAAAAGGAAACGTGGTTGCGGCAACAAATGTGAAATAACTTAACATTTGCGGCAGCTTAATATAAAAATTGTTAGGTAAACTATGTTGATGCAGTTGGATGTTAAAATTACTTTATTAGTCACTTTATTAAGTTCAAGTAATAACTAATTATTTAAATAATTAAATGTGGAACAACAGGGCAACTATAATTTCTAGATTGCTCTCTCTCTCTCTCTCTCTCTCTCTCTCTCTCTCTCTCTCTCTCTCTCTCTCTCTCTCTCTCTCTCTCTCGCTCTCTCTGTCTCTTTCTGTTTCACGTACAATGAATTTAAAATTACATTGTTCCATTTATAATGATATATTACGATGTACTGTTAATATTTTTTGTTAATGCCGCTATTTTACACTATCATTTTCTCGTAGTTCCATCCGCAATTACTGTAAGTGGTATAATAATGTAAATAACACTATTACGTTTCTTTAATTTATTAATTTTCATAATTCATTCTCTCTCTCATTTTTCTTACCATAATTTTTTAGTACATGCTATTTTTTTCATTTTCCTAATTGTTTTACTACTTTTTTCTCGGAGTGCAATAGCGATGTTTAATCGTATTTTTAATATCCTCAATTAATTGACGTTTGATGACAATTAACGGAAAAATATGATATATTAACAACATTAGTCTAATTGGCAATCCTGTTAATTCAATGCTAGTTTTAATAAAATATATACGAGTACATTATGTTATTGTTTCAATAAAATTTCATTTATTTGATCAATACGTCATTGAATTAATAAGATTATTTTCAATTAGATTAAACACTGTTAATCAAATTTACTTTTTCGGTACGTTGCATTTTGCTTAGGTGTGCAAATTTAAAAAAAATTGCTGAGCTGGAATCCCGTCGGCCTCAAACTCTCCTTGATACTTCACTTATTGACGATGTACCACGTAGAAAATGGAAGTTTGGAGAATCTTGCGAAACAAGATGCCACCAGGCAGTTTTGTTCACGAGAGAGCGGGACAATCGGCCGCACTTCCGTCATGTTGCTCGTGCTCGTTAGCGTTTCTCACCTCGCAGATAACGCGCGCGCCCGAACTTGCCTCTCCGCTGATCTCGGATAGACCAACCACTTAGTCTAGCAGTAGCGCCGAGCTAGCAGTCGGCGTAGATGACGAGCGCTTATTTAGGGACGACGGAGGTAGAAAGCCGCGCGGGCGTCAGGACGAACTGAGATACAGGGGGGGGGGGGAGATAAGAAGAGATATCTCGCGTGCCATGGGAGAAGGATCGTCACCTGTCTGTTATATTTCTGGGCTGGTTGCACCAACGTTGGTTACCGCTAACCGCGGTTGGCTAAATCTCACCTCTATCAATCTGCGTTATAGCGGGAATAATCCGGGAAGAGGAGAGAGTGGGTGACAGGAATTAATTAACAGTTGGAGCTTATCTCCAAAGTCTGTTAATGTTACAGCTAGTTAATACGGATAATTATTACACGAACTTACTTTCATTGCTTATTACGTAGCTAGAGTGGTATTTGAATTTTCTTCCGGTTAACGACGCCGCGTAAACGCGAGGGCAATACTAAATTTGATCTGTTATCTCTGCATTAGCATCGATTCTGATTGGTTGAATATTTCTTCTCGGTATTGTTGCTACAATCTAGTCGGGAACTTACTAAACCGTTTACAGTTAACCAAGATTAGGTGCAACTCGCCCTTAAGCCAAATTGCATCGTTGCCAATCGCTAGATTTAGCCAAATATTCTCCGTCCGTGTCGTAGTTAGGATGTCAAAAGCTAGAGAAGGGAATCAAAATTGAAGACACAAGGCTGTTCTTGTTCGGTCAAACGACGTTATCTTGATCAAGTTTACCGTAGTTGTAGTCGAGTATATAGGACAATGGAACTCCTGTCGTTGTAGCCAGGCCCGGGCGCTGGAGAGCCGGGCGAAGTTTATTGTTAGTTAAATCCGCAGTGCGATCGTTGGTGCAACCGATCCCGTGTCCGTCCACGACCACGTGTCTGTCTAACGCTATATCTTGCACTTGTGCTGTCTGTCACGTCGTCCACGTGCACCGCGACACGTTCGCGACCAGGAAATGGGTGTATTTTATTAACCACGTTGTTATAACGTCGTCAACGCCCACCCAGTTCCCGTGGTGGTGCAAGTCGTCCTCGTCGACGATGGCGGCGGCGGCGCCTTCCTCCACGGCCGCGGCGCCAGGCTCAGCATCCGCCGGCGCCGCACCCGGCACCCAGGGCGGCCAGGGCGTCTTACTATGTCCACGTACGCTGTCGCAGGTGCGACGGTCACGACTACGCCGGGCTCTCACCGAGGCGACCGCCGAGACCGTCAACTACGTCAAGACGGTGGGAGATGACGATTTTTCGCTATCAAGCCCTATTATGCGCGTATACCAGGGTGTTCCAGACCTCGAGACGCACCCCTCGCCAATGTCTTGGTCCTCGAATTTAACGTCTCGGATTAAAAAAAAAGAGCCATTCCCCTGAACTGAGAAAAAAAGTGTTGAATCAAGAGATATTTCTTATGGGCCGCCAAGCAAATATTTATCAATTCGTAAAAATATTCGTCCCCCCATTCATAAAAATATATGTTTCAATAAATCACTGTATGTTCGGGGTAAAGGCACCTAATATCGTCTACCAAAATTCAAGTCGTTCTCACCTAAAGAGTAATTGACATTATTGTCTGTGTTTAGTGTCAAATGAAAGAGAAAGCATTTGTGTTTCATGTACAATAGTTTAGAATGTTCGAAAAGTGGCACCTAATATCGCCCACCTTATAAATTTTTGTAAAATCATTGTTTTTCAATATGTATGAGTTTGTGAAGCTGTAGATATTTTACGTCATATAAACGTTTGTAGGTGTCCAGAAAATGTTTTAATACGTGTTTATGTTTCAAAAATATTTTTATTATGCATCAAGTCAATTTGTACTCTTTTTACTCTTTTTATTTTTAAAACCGCATGCACGTGATGTCGCCTAGGCGCATATTAATGCGGGCACCTCCGTAATAAACCGGTGAGCGGTATTGAGTGCATCCTAATCTAGACACTAAAAATATCGTAACAAAACCATACATGTTGAAATCGGTTAAAAATAGTGAAGTGTATCACTAATTATGTATTCCTAGTAAATATTTATACAGGGTGTTATATGATAACCGCCTCACCTCTTATTTACGGATAGAACGAAATAGACTGTGAGTCCAAAAGTCCTCTCTCATTTTGCAATTTTCGCAAAAGTTAACGAGTTATTAATTATTAAAAATCGCTGTCTTAGCCCGGCCTACTGCCCAATGCAAACGCACGGCGAGATGCGGCCGTTCCACGATTGGCGTTGCTAGGCGCGCAGGAAGTTGTTTATGACACACGGCAACGGCTACGTATAATAAACAACTCTTTGCGCGCCTAGCAACGCCAATCGTGGGGCGGCCGCATCTCGCCGTGTGTTTGAATTGGACGGTAGGCTGGGCTAAGACAGTGATTTTTAATAATTAATAACTCGTTAACTATTGCGAAAATTGCAAAATGGTACAGGAGTTTTCGACTCAGTTTAGTTCGCTCTATCCAACGATAAGAGGTCATGCGGGTATTACAAAAGACCCTGTATATTAAAAGAACGTTTGAACTTACATTCTCACCACGGGATGTCGAACTTGCATTGTCTGCTAAATTTTTCAGTATTCGAAATTTGTTTTAACTCTTCCGAGTCAGACGTTATTTCTATAACGTTGTAGACTACAATATGTCTTCTTATACATGTTTAGCTACTAATTCTATGTATTGCCGATTGGTACCATCACTTTGTTCGCGAGATATCACGAGTGACGATATTACGTTCTGGGCGACATTAGGTGCTTTTACCCTAACTTAAAAACATACACAGGGTAAGTTTTATTTCGTAAATCAGTTTTTTACCGTAAGATATGAACTACCGATCGAAACTGTAGCCAACTCTGGAAAGAAGGGTAAAAATCTCGTTGTATATGTTTCAATCATGTAATATTTTATTATATCTCACAGGATACAATTAAATACAACATGTTTGAGATATTTAACGAGATATTGCTTTCATTTTGTCCCGGGTTAGCTACAGTTCCGGTCGGTAATCCATCTCTCATGATAAAGGCGATCTTTTGGTTCACGAAATAAAACTCACCCTGTATACATATTTGAACTGAAGAAATACCGCCGACTAAACGTATTTAGTCATTTCAATAACTTTTTTTCTCAGTGTGCATTTAACTGTTATTCCAAATTTGCGCGTTAATTAACAAAAGTGTTCGCTCCTTTTTTTTCTTGCTCATTTCTTTACTGCTCGTGACGAAAACTTGTCTTCATTATCATTCCATTTAAATGCCCCCCCCCTCCCCCGTCATTTGTATTAATTTGAATACATACATAATGATATGCGGTTGTGAGGGAAGCACGCGACTTCTGGGATACCCTGTATGCGAATATGCCTTGCATAACGTATGCACATGCACGCACGACGCGATTGTACTAGTGACGACACTAGCGGCAACGTTTCAACGGGAATGTTTGACACCCCATGTAGATATGTTAAATAACGACGTCTGGTAGAAATGGCCAATGCTATGCTTCCGCGCGAGCTTCCCGTTTATTCCCGTTTATGGTCTCTTACACCAGACGTCGTAATTTCATTTACATGCACGTAAAACGTGGCGAAAACCGCCGCGGTCACGGTGCGATTCGCAACGTAAGGCATTCAATAGCAATGTGCTAGCACTGAACAAAATTTAGAAAATTGTTCTCCAATTTACGCAATGGTAAACTGTTAGTGATCGAGAATGTGCTAATCCGTTACACCCACAATTTTCTTCCTTCCTCTACACACTTCTGCAATATTTCCGATGTTTGAAAAGTTTTAACAAGGCCGTTAAGCGACAAGTAATCCTGTTGCAAAAAATTTACCGGAGAAAGTTAAATATACTCAATTCCAAGTTTGTTGGAAAGTTATTTGGAAAACAGCTATTTCTGACGAGGCTAATCTCTACTTGAAGGTGTATCGGGCCGTAAGTATTATGGTATCATATTTAAACAACGGAAATGCACCTTTGAATATTCCAACACGCGAAAGCGTACGCAGCCGCCATAAAACTGCAGGGGTCATGTAAAAAATAAAAGCATTCGCAATAAAATCTCGAGAGTTTTCGCGAGCTCGGTTCGCGTTAAGGAAAGTGCATCTGGCAAATATTGATCGTAACAATCTGCGCTTTACGTCGCTGCACTTCTCGCGTACGGGACGCGTTCCCGTAGTAAACGGCGAAACGAACGAGACGAGGGAAATAAAATAAAATCCTCCCTCGAGCGTGCACGAGCGAACGCGTCCGTATGTGTGCGCGGTCGGTCGCGGAAATCTCGTCTTCGCGCGAGACTGTCGACGAGCGCGCGCGGGTTTTGGCGGCCAAGAACGCGAGTTGTCGGAAAAGATTGCTCGACCGGGCGTCACACAAAAACTTTGGCGTGTTCCATTCCGCACAAGATGCATACACAATTTACAAAATCCCCTCCGTCCCTTCCCGTTCACGGACGCCGACAGACTTTCCTTAATATCGCGAGAATTTTAAAGTTAGCGCAAAGCAGCGAACTCGACGCATATTTCAAAATATCCCGGAAGCCCGCGGCGTCGTGAAGTAACACCTACAGCACGCCGTACTTTATACGAATAATAAAAGTTGTTTCAGAAAATAATTTTGCGCAAGAAGCTGCAGCTTGCGACAAGCCGAGGATTTCGCAATTGGTCGTTTCAGTCTGTTTCTCGCCGCGAATTTTATTCATATTATTGTTGCATCGCGTACTGTAGGAGAATATTTAAATAAAGTAATAATCGTTTCGTTATCTCGCGCGAATTGTTGTGGCGGAATAAAATTAAACAACGCTGATCTTCACGTGCGGTGGAACGTAAAAAAAAAACAAAAAACCGACGCCGACGCTGAATTTGGAGTCGATCCAACGATGTTAAATTCCCGTACACCACGCTCGTCGATTTGTTACGTGTAACTAGGGATGTATATAACTCTTTGATTTTTATCTGCGGAATATAAAAACGCTTTCCGATATCTGACCTAGCCGTAAATATTTCAACGCCAGCTTTCCGCGCGCGTGAGTAACATTTCGCGCGATCGCTCCTAGTATTTTGGTCAAAATGCACCGATCGGATTCAGATTTATTATGCTATATTTTCAAGTCCTCCACGCGTAAATTTTCCGACGTAACCAACATTCCCAGCGTAACCCCGTCCTAATTTTCTATTTTGTCCGAGTAAATAATGCCTTCGTTCAACACACTCGTTTATTCTCTCACCATATTTTTCGGACTTTGACACTCTCGATCACTACACCGATAGAAAAATATGGTTAGATCAATTATAATCTCACTATGTTTTATAGTGAATTTTGACTCCAAACATATTTTTATAGTTTTATTAAATATGCAAAATATAGCAGAGCGAACACCAAATTTATAGTTATTATCACTATGACATAAATTGGCACAATCGTATGAAATTTTATAGTAAATTTTTTAAATAGTTGGCATCACTGTGCCTACCATATATGGTTGCTATTATTAATATTATACACTGAAAAAAATTTTTGGTTGAATATGGACGAACCAGATAATTCTTGTAGGATTTACCAGAATTCCTGTAGGATTTACCAGAATTTCTGTAGGATTACAGGAATTCTGGTAAATCCTACAGGAATTCTGGAATATTAGCTTTATAGTAATTATTACTACACTGAAAAAAATTTCTGGTTGAATATGGACGAACCAGATAATTCTTGTAGGATTTACCAGAATTCCTGTAGGATTTACCAGAATTTCTGTAGGATTACAGGAATTCTGGTAAATCCTACAGGAATTCTGGTAAATCCTACAGGAATTATCTGGTTCGTCCATATTCAACCAGAAATTTTTTTCAGTGTAGTAATAATTACTATAAAGCTAATATTCCTGACTACAATTATTTTGTTCAATTATAGTTTCAAGCACTACATATTTTTCTATCGGTGTGTCCCCCGGAGAAGAGTAACAGTCATTGGCAAAAAATGCAATCTTACAGATCGCTTGTTTCGCGGCAACTTAATTTTGTTATAATTAACAAAATGCCAGAGAAACAAGTACGTGAAGTTTCCAGCGCGGTTTGTCTGTCATACTTACAATTGAAATGTATATACGTTGTCAAATTACTACCACGTCGCACGAAGGTAATGTTCAGTATGTCCCCCGACAACCGCGACGTATACGAGCGCCTTGTACCGGAAGCGGAGTCAGCAAGCATGAGCGGACTCACGGAGTTTCGTGTTTCGCAAACGTTTCGG